CAAAAAAAAAAAAAAAACCAAAGTCAGGCAAGGTGGCTCATGCCTGTAATCCCAGCACTTAGGGAGGCTGGGGTAAGAGGACTGTCTGAGCCTAGAGGTTCGAGACCAGCCCAGGTAACTTGGTGAGACCTTGTCTCTACAATAAATAAAAAAATTAGCCAGGCATGGTGGTTCACGCCTGTAGTTCTGGCTAATTGGAAGGCTGAGACAGAAGGATCACCTGAGCCTACCAGGTCAACGCTGGGGTGGTTGTAAGCATGACACTGTACTCCAGCCTGGGCGATGGAGGTAGACTTCAACTCAAAAAAAAAAAAAATTTTTTAAAAAGGCCTACAGGTAAAGAAACAATGGGAGGAAAAGTCAAGTGCAGACAACCCTGCACAAAAGATGACCTCTCCAAGTCAGCAAACTCAGCCAGTGAGCAGACAGAACAACGCTTGGGACATCCTGACAGCCACAGGAAGGTGACAGTGTCAATCAGAGGAAGCTCAAAACAAGAGTTAATAACAAATGTGACTTGCCCACCTGGCCCCGCCCCCTTACCATTCAGTAGCGGGAGCTCCAAGAAGGAGGCAGAACACACTCTACACGCCCACTGGCTGGGCTCTGATTCCACAGGTGTGCTGTTTTCAGGGGTGCCTGCAGCTTCAGAAGATAAGAGTGGAGAAAGGTGACCTGAGCAGCTCATCTCTCCATGAAGCCCAGCCCAGTGAGAAGGGGCCTGTCCTGGGAGGTGATGACAGTGGTGACAAAAGCTCGACATCTCAGATGCATTCTTAAGAGTTTTACACACGCTGACTCATTTGGCCCTGTGATTGTCTCCATTTCACAGATGAGGAAACTGAGAACAGAGATGTAGAACCACACAGAACAGCCTCTGCAGGGTCCAGCCTCTGTCACCAGTAGCAGAATGTGAGTTGCTCAGAAGCCAGTGCAATAGGACCAGACATGTCCCTTCTATAACTTAAAAAAAAAATGCATCCTAAGGAACCAAACTTAATTCCTCAGTCTCTCAGTGGGTCACAGAATAAGACAGTGGAACCCAAGACAGACAGCCAGCAGTGCTCCATGCTTGGTCTGGCTGTGGCTCCAGCTGACGCTGTCCAGCAAACTTTCTGTGATTACAGACTAGCTCTATGGCTGCTGTCCAGCAGGGCAGCCAGGGCCACTCGTGGCTAGTGCCCTATAGGAAATGAATTTTAATTTTATTTGAATTTAAATTTAGCTGGGTACAGTGACTCATGCCTGTAATCCCAGCACTTTGGGAAGCAGAGGTGAGAGGATTGTCAGCAGTTTGAGACCAGTCCTGGCAACTTGGTGAGAACTCATCTCTACAGTAAATAAAAAAAATGAGCCAGGCATAATGGCGCATACCTTTGGTTCCAGCTACTTGGAAGGCTGAAGCGGAAGGATCACTTGAGCCCAGCAGATAGAGGCTGTGGTGGCTATGAGCATGCCACTGCACTCCAGCCTGGGCCACACAGTGAGATACCAACTTAAATAAATAAACAAACAAACAAATACATTTAAATAGGTTCCTAGGGCAGGTGGCTATAGTCCCAGGAAGCACCTCTTGCCCTCAACCCATGCTACATAGGAGTCTGGAGAGGGAGAGCCATGGTGAGGGGCCAAGACACTTGGGCCAAACCTAGCTAGGAAGAGGGGACTGCCTGGACCTGGTTAGTAGGACAAGCATTGTGATTTGCTTTTCCAGTAAGAACGCTGGATCAGGGTGAATCACTCACCGAGTCTTCCTTTGAACATGCACACAGGTACACATGCACGCATGAGCCTATGGCACCTATACATACACACACACCTATGCATGTGTGTATACACACACACACACACACACACACACACACACACACACACACACCCTCAATTGGGGAGGAGTCTGCTGTAAGGTTAACAGCAATGCTGGAGTCAGATTCCAGGGTGTGATCCTGGTTCCTTCATCAACTGTACTGTGTCCTTGGGCAAGTTCCTTAACCTATCTGTGCTGTTTCCTCTGTCCAAAAATAGGAATGATACTCCAACCCCAGGACTAAGAAGATGAGTTACTACATGAAAAGCCCCCAGAGCAGAGCTAAGCAAAGTCACAAGCGGTATTCCAGTCACCAATGGACCACATATACAACATTGTCCCCTAAGAGTATGATAGTACATCTTTTCTATGATTAGACATGTTTAGTTACAACTAGCTACACTGTAGTACAACCACCTACAGTATTCAGGGCAGTCACATGCTGTGCAGGTTTGTTCTCTAGGAGCAATGATCTCTGTCATACAGCCTAGGTGTGCAATAGGCAACACCATGTAGGTGTGCAGGGTGCTCTCCATGACAGTCACACAACAAGGTCACCTCACAACACATTTCTTGTGTCCTTGTCCATAAGCAACACTGACTGTATTAGCTTGTATCATGGCCAAGTGCCCAAATCACTGCCGTGGGACTGAAAGGTAGAACTTTTCACCAGCAAAGGTTCAGTTTAGGGGTAAGCTCTTCTAATTGTCAACCTGGATGTTGAACAAGCAGAAAGACAGACCCAACTCTGGGGGTCAAGATCAACCCCTCCGCACTACCAGTTACCTGGCCCAGCACAATCATGTCATTAGCGCGGATTCAGTGTGTGTAGCCAATGGTCATTGAACCTTCCAGTGAGGCCCACAGGAAGGTATGCTAGAGGATGGGGGCATAGCCATGTACCATGGATGCCAGAGCAGGCCTGCTTCAGCATGGGCTTGTCCATCTTCTTGGCGTAGAAGGCTGCGTACCACACACGCAGCTCGGTCCCTGGGGGTATGTCCCTGGATGTGGTGAAGTACACGTCGCTGCCATGCTGGTAGGCCGTCAGGTTCTGGTGCTCAGGCTCTGCCGCCGGCCGCACCAGCATCATCCAGTTGCAGTCATCCTCGTTGGAGGTGTCAAAGCACACAGGGTGCCCGTCCTTCTGGAACACCTGAGGGGAGAGCACACCTCACTGAGGGGCCAGGGAAGGAGCTGGTTATCTACCAGTGTGAGGAAATGGGTCGCCGAGGAACCCATCCACACGGTGCCATATCAGAGGCCTATCAGGCTCCTGCATGAGACATGGTCAGGAGGGTCACAGGTAGACCGCATAGCTTCGACAGGTCAGGTTGGTCACAGGCAAAAGGAAGCAGCAGACACAGCAGAAGGTCCATGTGTCATCAGGATACCTGAGTTCCACTCACAGCCCCAGTGCAGAACTCAGGTTCTAACCAGTTTCTAGTGGGCATAAGGACATCTAAGTTCTATTCCTGGTACAAGAGGGCTTTGGGATCTCTGAGCTTTACTCTTGGTTCAGGTGTCAAGTGTTATGGGGACACCTGAGCTCTATACCTGCTCCAGGTGTCATGTATCTCGGACATCTAAGTTCTATGCATGGTCCAGTGGGAATTGGGAAATGGGGTTCTACCTGTGATCCAAGTGGGCACCTGGACACCTGAGTACTACTCCCAGCTCTGTCATAAGTATGCTAGGTGATATTAGCCAAGCTCCTCAGTTGTCATCTGCAGAACAGCACTGTTGCTTTGTGGATTAAATGCAGTCAGGGAGCAGAGATGGAACCCCAAATATTTTGAAGTTCAAGTCAATCACACAAGTGCAGGAGAGTTTGAGGCCCTATTTTCTGACGTAGCCATCACTTCTTCACTGTAGGAAATGATCTCTCTCCTCTCCTAAGCTTTTCCTGGAGAGACCCTCCAAAGATACACCCCTCAGCATCAAGGCCACCAGGGTACCTAATGACCCCTGGCCACTGTGGGACGTGTACTTCTGGCTGGTGACACCTTTCCTTCAGTGAGCACACAGGTGCTCAACGTTGGGGTGTACACCGAAGACAACTCAATACCAGGCAATAACCTTCAGAATCAAGTAACTGAAAGGTGACCAAAATAGTCACAAAGGATTTTTTTTTTTTTTTGCTTGCAAGTATACATAGCACCTTTACTTATAATAGACAAAAACTGGAAAGAACTCAAATATGTATCAACTGGTGAATGGATAAACAAACTGTTCTCTCTACACAAGGAGTATTGCTGAGCACTGAACAGGAACGGACTGCTGATAACTATAACAAAATGGATAAATCTCAGAAGTATTACGCTATGTGGAAGAAGTCATCTATCTGTCTGAATTTATAAGAAATTTTACACAAGGCAAAACTGTAGTGACAGAAAACATATCAGTGATTCCCAGGGACTGAATGTGGAAGATTGACTACAAAGGGGCACACAGAACTTTCTGGGAATATAGAAATACTTTTTTTTTTTTTAAAGAGACGAGGTCTTGCTATGTTGCCCAGGCTGGTCTCGAACTCCTGGGCTCAAGCAATCCTCCTTCCTTGGCCTTTGAAAGTGTTGAGACTACAGGCATGAACCACTGCACCCGGCCTGGAAATATTCTTTATCATGAAAAATAAGAAGAAAATAGTTTATTTTATTATTATTTATTCTGTCTCTGACTCTCTTCCACAAAGGACTCTTTCACAGGGGCCTCGGCCCCAACCATGGCCCTACACCACTGTGTGCATCGACTGGACAGGCTCCACCAAGGATAGGCACGCAGCCAACGACCTTTCTGAGGTTGTTTTAGGCCTCTTTACACCATTCCCTTAACTTAAAACGGCATTTCTCTCTTTCCTTTTTTTGTAAACAAATCAAGTACGCTTCCTTCTCCCCCTTTTGGCTGGAATCTGCCTTACATGCTCAATTTTTCAGACGACTGCCAAAATCCCAAGCCCACTGACATCCTCTACCTGTCCTGAAACAGGCAGATCCCTCTTAAGCATCTCTAAGAAAAATCTGCCCCCATCAGAAAATGTTGCACTGACCAGCAACCTGTTGCTCATTTGTTTATTTCTCAAACATCCCTGAAGACTCGCCCTGTGCCAGGTACTATGCTGGGGGCAGAAATGGAACCATGAACCATCTCCCCATCTGAACTCAGGGGCTTCCAGAAGGTTTATTTTAAGTATTCTAAGCCCAGCTTGCAATTTACATCCATTTTGGTTTTCTCAATTTCACCTACGAGTAGAGAACAGCTGTCTTTTTCTCAGTCTTGTGTGCTTTTTAGAGCTGCCAAACTTTGTACTATTGCCTGGCATCTCATTGCTGCCTAAAGAAACTGCCTTCCCTTTGAAAGAGCTTTGCAAAGTCCCACACGCTCAGCACAGTTGTAAAAGAACTACAGTGGTGCACTCCTGCGAAAAATGACCTCATGAAACCTGAGACAGCAACCCAGGTTGTAAGAGAACTGAAGTTGACACTTAGGGTTTATCCTGCACGTTTTAAATATACTTTTTAATGTTTTGCAAAATTGAAAATTAACAAAATGCTAACTTAACTTTGATGCTCTTGTAATATAAAAACTTAAAAAAAAAAAATTTGCTTGGAAATAAAGCAGAACTACAAGATTCAGAGCTATTTCCAAGGCATTTTCACAAATCTTGAAATCCAGTAGTTCTGCTCCCCATTCCCACGGGGAAGATCATCAAAACACCCGGGTCTGAGTTCCAGCTGGCAGAGCCTTTACCTTCAGTGGAAATGCAGACTCCTTCTCCCATTTGGCAACCCTCCTGGACTCGAACGGACCAAACTGGGTTCGCTTGACAAGCTGAGTGACAGCAAACACTCCTTCAGCTCCGTCTTCCAGCCGTCGGATCTCCAAGTTGGGAGGGAGGGAAGACCTGGAAATGGAATAAACTTAAGCTCACTGACACCATGGGTAATCCGAAACCCAGCTCTCCAGGGTACTAAAACAGAGGACTTCCTAACCAGTCTAAACAAAGCTCAAGGCTGGGGTTGTGGAGACTCCCCAGGCTATGGGAACATGGCAGTAATCTTGTGGCCTTAACTACACAAGATCAACCACAAGGCCCTGGCAAGACTCCCCCAGAGCATATGATGGTGGGCCCTTTATTAAACCCTGGGCTGAAACCCCGCCAGCACACGCATCCCAGGTATGGGTGGCCTTGGGACCCCAAGAGCAGAGTCAGACTTGGTGCCCACCCTCAGAGGTACAATCCAGTGAAGGAGGGAGGACCCCGGGGACCTCAGGCTGAGGAGTCATATGGAGAGCACCACGAAAAAGACACAAGTGCCATAGGTGTCCCAAAGACCAGAAGAGGGTTTCCAGACAGGCAGAATGGAGAACATGGCCTCTTTATCTCAAGTAGAAGGAATTAAAGGATGGAATCTGGAGACGAAGTCACAGGAGCCGGGACAAGCCCAAGACATGTTTGGAGCAGAGACGGACACCAGGGCACCAGGCGCATGGGCTCTCGGAGGGCAGGCAAGGGACCAGCAGAGACAAGGAACCCACCATGGAGGGTCTGACTGAGGCGATAAGGGTTTCAACTGAATTTTCATGAGTAACAGGCAAGTCCAGAAGGTTCTAGAGAAGAGGAGAGTTGAGTAGCTCTGTACTTTTAGCAAAAATAATAATCTCTTTGTTTTAAGCAGAGTAAGTCACATTGAGAAAAAGATATAGACCAAAAGTGTGGGGAGGGGCAGTTGAAAGGCTCCTAAAAATAGGACTAAAAAGCAGCTACCTTTGCAGCAGCACCATATGCCGTCACCATGACACACAACATCACGGCCACCTCACAGGGGGCTGTCATCTTTATAGAGGTGGCTGAGGTTCAGAAAGGAGGTGCCTGTCCAAGCTCTCCTGCTGTGGGCCACCAGGTGGCATAGCCTCCCACAATGTGCATGGAACAGCAGAACAGCCGCTGCCCACTTAGCCTCCTTCCCAGACCTTAAGGACTGTGTCCAGAAGCTTGGCTTTGTCACCCATACTCATATCCAGCGCCCCCTCCTCTAACCCCGGAGCATGAGCATGTGGCTGGCAGGCCCAGATCCGGAATGCAGAGGAAGCCAACAGGCAGACCCATAGCTTGGCTGCTGCTCAGCACACTGACCACCTTGGCGGTGCACTCTTCCATGGCCTCTGTGCTGTGTAGGAGACAGCAAAAGTCCTAAGAACACCGGACTAGATCAAGGAAGCCAACTCTGAAGCTTTGAAATATCCAGTGGCCCATCCCAGCAGTGAGGCCACTCAGTTCGCAGCAGGAAGGACATCACTGATGCTCACTTGAACACTTTCTTTTCTCACTCTTGCTCCTTCCTCCTAGTCTGCAGACATAAAGGCTGCTAAGCTCTTGCAGCAGGTGACACAGAGACGGCCCTGTTTGAGAAAGCAGCTCAAAGCGGTCACTCACCTTGCCCTGCTTAGCACAAAGGAGTCTTTGACCATGACCACTGGGCCCAGCTCAGGACATTCGGAGTCATGGTATTGGCTGCAATCTTCACACCCTGCAAGTAGACATCTAAGTGTCAGAGGGGACAGCACCCAGGGAGGGAAATGCCCACAGAACATACACCTGGAAAGTGGGGAACCCTGCCTGATGGGAATGACCCACAGTGGTGAGACACAAGTGCACTGACACCACAAAGGCAAGCAAATGTGGGCACAAGCGAAGCCAGCTCCAGGAAGGTCCCCATCAATGTTCCCCCAAACATAAGGAGTACAAACTCAGGACATGCCCCTGGGGATAAGAGCCAGCTATATCGTGTGCCCTAAGTGGGGCACAGTCACTGCCATGGTGATGAACAACAAGAGCCTCCCCAAAATTACGAGAATAAATAAAAATTCACCATTATCAATCTGTTTATTGAACATATGCCAAGCACAGTGGCTCAAGTCTGTAATCCCAGCACTTTGGGAGGCTCAGGCAAGAGGACTGCCTGAGCTCAGGGGTTCAAGACCAGCCTAGGCAACTTGGTGAGACCTCATCTGTACAATAAATCAAAAAATTAGCTGAGCGTGGTAGCATGTGCCCATAGTTCCAGCTACTTGGAAGGCTGAGGTGAAAGAATCACCTGAACCCAGTAGGTCGAAGCTGTGGTGGCCATGAATGTGCCACTGCACTCCAGCCTGTGTGACAGAGTGAGACCCCAACTCAAAAAAAAATTGAACATACTTTCTTCTTTCTGAACCCTTGGATTACTTTTCTGAATCAAGTGGTGCCCCTACAATGTGCCCTCTGCTGGGAGATCTGAGAAAGATGATCCAATTAAAGCCACACCCCTGTAGTGCACTGCTCATGTAATCAATCATATTTCTGAACGCAATTTAAAAAGAAACATCTTTCTGTCTTATAGAAATAAAATGCAGATGTGGCTTTGCCCAGGTAGGAAGTGCTGTGTCCATCTGTATTCTGTGACAGTGAGTTGGATCCGGGCAGGTGTATGGGTCACTTACAGATGAACATGATCTCTTCGCTCCCATCTTCAGCCATCTCTGACACCTGTCAGGATATAAGAAAGCCTCATTAGTGATAAGTTTTGACCAAAGGAATTTTGTTTTGTTTGTTTTTTGAGTCAGAGTCTCACTCTGTTGTCCAGGCTGGAGTGCAGTGACATGCTCACAGCCACCGCAGCCTCAACCTGCTGGACTCAGGCAATCCTTCTGTCTCAGCCTTCTAAGTAGCTGGAACTACAGGTGCATGCTACTACGCCTGGCTTATTTTTTTTATTTATTGTAGAGACGAGGTCTCACCAAGTTGCCCAGGCTGGTCTCGAACCCCTGAGCTCGGGCAATCCTCTCACCTTGGCCTTCCAAGTGCTGGGATTACGGGCTTGAGCCGCCACACCTAGCCTAGAAAAAAAATTTTTTTTTTTTTTGAAGAGCCAGGGTCTGGCTCTGTTGCCCAGGCTGGAGTGTAAGGACACAATCATAGCTCACTGCACCCTCGACCTCCTGGGTTCAAGTGATCCTCCTGGTCAGCCTCCTGAGTAGCTGGGACTACAGGTATGTGCCACCATGCCTGGTTAACTTTTTTTTTTTTCTTGTATAGACAAGATCTCATTGTGTTGCCTAGGCTGGTCTCGAACTCCTGGGCTCAAATGATCCTCCAGCCTCAGTCTCCCAAAGTGCTGGAATTAAAGGCCACTGTACCTGAAAAACAATTTTTAAAGACAATTCCTATCAAAGGCCTCCTCCAGCCTCTGTAGGGACATTACATTGTGCTTTAAGGGGGACACACAGTGGAGTCTTCTCTTATTGTGGGACAGGACTGGGGGGCCCTGAAATGTCTTCTTACCTAAAATAATGTTTCTTAAATAAAAGAAATGAATCTGAATGGTCTCGTGACTAGGAAGTCTTCATGAATTTAGCCTTCAGTTTCCATTTATAAAATAAACATATCACCATTTTTGAAAAACCAGTTTTCACTGACATTTCTCTTTTTTCCTCCCTCATTGGGTCATGATTTCTCAAGGGCAGGAATCTAACGCTGCTTCATTCTTCAGCTCCTGATCTGTGCCTGAAGCCCATAAACCCTCATTTCTCTGGGGACTCAAGCATGATTCGAGGGCTTTCCTGCTACCACAGCAGCTGTTATCAGATACAGTTACTTCTATCTCTGTCCATCCTTGAGGGTCACATCAAGAACTACCTGCATAGCAGGCTGCAGAGCAAAGACTGACCCTCCCCACACACACACTCAGGGATGAACGGACATTGTTCACTCTGGGGCCCACACACACACTCAGGGATGAACTGGACATTGTTCATTCTGGGGCCCCTGATTCCTGAGCTGTGACCTGGAAATAAAAATGCTCATCGCCTGCAGTGAGGGGAGGAACATCAAGTGAGACACCTACAGCATGTGCTACCAAGTCATCATTGCCCCTCTGCTCACCCCAGCCCGCCTGTGCCTAGCCACAAGGAAACAAGGATGAGGAGATACAGATTTCCAGTTTGCCCTTAAAATGCCAGAAAACAACTAGGGTGGAATTCTCCCCCAACACAGCACAATATTTTCTTTTCCTGGGAACACCTGTTCACAGTAGCACAGGCCTAGCAAGTTTAATTTGGTTTCATATCAATATTCTACCTCGCCTTCCC